AGAATACTTCAATAAAAATTTCAAAACTATTTGCATATCTAAAACAAATTCATTATTCTCTGGTAATGCTGCTCAGTTATACCCACAGGCAGGGTTTGGTGGACGTGGTCCACCAAGCAGGGATTGACAATAACCGACTTCACAAGAACATGCCAAAACAGTGGCTCTCCCCAGCACCTCGCCCGAAGTCTCAGGACCTTACCTATATCTTCCTTGAGGTCAATTTCGGCTGTGGTTGGGTGGACAATGCCCTCCACTCTCATGGAGCCAATATGGCTGATGTCACTCTGGGTCAAGGACAGCTGCATTGGGAAGAGAAGATGGAGAGTGTGGGGAGATCAAGTCCTATGAAAAACCTTCATGTTTTACACCACATCTGTTTGTTGTCTCAATTACCTATACTGACCATCGACTGAAAGGGCTGTACCTGGGGCGCCCGTCTCAAGTGTCCCGGGCATGTGGTTGTCAATAGGCTCTTTTGAGCTCAGTGGATTTAATGTTCACTCTGAGGCGAGCAGCATGCCACAAACCTGCCTCCCCTTCCAGCAGCAGAACAGGACCTGCCCTCCTCCTCTTTTCCTTACAGCTTATACCTTCGTTTCCAACCCTCGTGGCCTCCATGTTCGGGGTCAGATTCTCTGAGTAGCTCCTGCAAGAAGCTACTCAGTTCCCTGCATTCTTTCCAGAGCAGCACAGACTTTTGGGGGCACGGATGCAAAGGCAACCACTCTGCTTGGGAGAAGTGATGGGCTCCAGGATTCTGACCCGCCTACGTCTGGCCGTCTTGCCTTTTGGGACCATATGCTTGGGGCTACACTTGTGAGGTGCTGCCCTCTGTGTTCACAGCTGAGTGGAATGGAAGGCATTCAGCGTTGTCTCCCATGTGAGCTAGAACTTCCCGCTCCCCTAGATCAGGGAGAGAAAGCTAATCATCACATAACCACGGACTGCCCCCGGAGTGGACATAAATTCCACCTCTTTGCTTTCCTGCTTCCATCAGTGATGAATTAGCAACCCACCACGTTTATGCTCTTCTCAAAACACGCTCTTCCCAATTGCCTCGACAGAGGTTCGTACTATTGTCAGGCTGCAAACATTCGCAATCCGAGATGTGATTAACTGACTGTTTCCGCGTGTATCTTATTTCAGCCCCAGTTGACTTGGGAGATAAATTGTCTGTTATGCTTGTGGGAATGAATTATTTGCATGTCTGGCTGGGCTGCTGTTATGCTGCTGAAAAATGTTCAAATGTATAACCCTGTTTGTTTTCTGTCTGCAGTCTAGAAAGGCAAGCAGACTGAATTATTGGCAAATAATTCATCTCTAACACAAGGGATATTTGGGGAACATATCTTTCTATTTTCTGCCTTTGAAAAATGACATGACACCATATAAAGCGGGCCTCCCAAAGGCTGGTTGAGAAAGCTAGCTACGGATATTTTGGTAGGCACAGAGGTAACTGGGGCACAGAGACAAGAAAGATACTGACCAGAAAGATCCACTACCTGCACGTCTGGCTGACCACTGTCAGCATGAACAATTCTCAGCACTAAAGAGCCTGTTTTTCCTTACAATGCAGACATTGCCATAGCTCTTTAGTTTAAAAATGAATAATTCAAGACCAGAGTGAAAGTCGTATTCGGGGAGGAAGGGATGAAGGAAGCATCATTGCTTGTGAACAGTAGGTTATAAAAATGCAGTAGTGTTTTACGGCACCACATTTCAATCCTCTTTGTTACCTTCTGCCCTAGAACAAGGCTCTTAGAAGACAAGATGGTGAATCCATCCCCTGGCCCATCTTCAGAGGTGGAATTTGAAGTTCCTTCTTTATCGCCGTCCTTTGGTTTGGACTGGGTAGAAATCAGAAGAACAGATGAGAAATAATCCAGAACAAAAGCCCAAAGTGGCTTTATTAAGTCCTTCCCCTGGCTCCCACCAACTGGGATATGAAAGGAAGTGGTCAGGTGTTATGTTCTGTTATTCTCGGCAGAGGGAAGCAAGAGACAGCAATATGAGGAAAAGAAAAGAATACAGCAAAAAATAGAGTGTGTTTAAGGGGCTCACATGTACCCACGGTCCTCACTCAAACCTGGACACGGGTATGTTATTCTTGGTCTTTTCAACACCTGCAGCTTCTGATAATAAGCCAAGTGGGGTCATTCACAGCACACCGCTCAACCTCCCTTCTCCCCAGGATTCCCCTGGGGCACAGTGGCTGAGAAATGAACTCTTATATCATCTTTTTTGCTATCATGCAGGACTGTGGAATGAAAACTGACTAGCTCTGAAGCAGCGCTGTCCAATAGGACTGCCTTCCTTCATGAAAATGGTCTGTATTTGAGCTGCTCAGGGCTGTTGAGCACTTGAAATGTGGCTGGTACAACCAAGGAACTGAATATCATGTAGTTTTAATCAATTTAAATTCAAGTTTGAATAGCCACATGTGGCTAGCAGTTGCTGTACTGGGCAGCCTCTGAAAGTATTACTCTATAGGTGGCCTCTCTAAACTATAGCTCCTTAGCACATCAGATTATCCAAAACACCTGAAATGCCATTGCACTCAGGCCATCTGTGGGCGGCTAGACTGGTTTCAGGGTGCAACCTGGAGCTCTGGGGAGGGATGGAAAGCAGAGTCCCAGGCCAGTATCTCTCACTTAAGATTTTGGCGGGGGCAGTGGAAGGGATCTAGAAACATGGAAACCACCTCTGTTCTGGATTTGGAAACCTCTGGGAGACCCGGCTTGATGATCTGAGCACATCTCAAAGGCTCTTTATTCTCTTCCACAGACATTCTTATCATTTTCTCAGCACCAAGCTGAGGCCAGTTCCCGGTCCTTCAGGGATGCTGGCCACACCCTCCTCTTTTTGATTATTCAACTTTCCTCCTGTTCTGTGACAGTCCCTGGGCTCACCTTTTTGGACGTCCGTGGTTTGGCAGCCTTGGATTTCTTGCCTCCCTTCTTGCCCGACGTGGCCTTCCTTCCTCTCTTCTCTGGGGGAGGGGAGAGAATAGTTTCCGACTTGCCTTTGGTCCCTCGCTTTTTGGCCAGCAGTTCAGGGTGAATTCTGGGCAGGACACCCCCGCTGGCAATGGTCACTCCTTTTAGCAGCTGAAGAGAGACAACGTATGAGCTCAGACAGCAAAGAGCTTGCTGGTTCTGGATTTAATACAGTTCTTTTTCTTCAGTGGTGGGGAGAGATGATATTTATTTATTATCATTATTATTTTTTTATTTAACAGAGGCACTGGGGATGGAACCCATGACCTCGTGCATGCTAAGCACTGAGCTACCCCCTCCCTCCCCTTAATACAGTTCTAATTGTTGGCAAAACAAGTGTTAAATCTGGTCTCTGCTTTCCAAAGAAACCGCATATAATACACGATTTAACTGGCTTTCCCTGTCACATGTGTGAGCTTTTCTCTGTAGGTATCAAGGCATCCTGTGATCTTCTACAGAAAGCAAAACAAGCAGAGCAAAATGAAAGCATATAGAGGCTGGAGCCAGCGATGTTGCCCAGAGTTCTGAAATTCCAGACATAACAGAGGATAAAGAGCTTCAGACATGGGAGCACAGCTTGACAAAATGAGGTTCAAAGGTTAATGCAAGGGCTAGACCCAGTTAACAACAGACCCATGGCCTTCACTCTCCTTTGATCATGAAAATTCCATCAGTAAAATATGTTTGACCATGTGCCTCCCGATTGATATGTTTACTTTAACTAATCGACATGAACTACCACACTAACATTCCACACCCTATAGCAGCGCTGCTCCAAGTGTGGTCTGCAACCAGGGCTGCTCCACAAGCTATCAGTGACCTGTCTGTGACAAAAGGAGTACAGAAATCATGAGGAAGAATCTAGTCAATCGACAGTTATTGTCTATCTATTGGATCTAGTAACAAAAAAATTGTAGCTTATAGTTTATATGGTTTTGGTTTTAAACTTTTCTAGTAATTATTTTTTATTGTATTTTTGGAAGTTATCCATGATGCATTGGAAATAAGAACTGATTCTTCACCACAGACAATTTGAAATAATACGATTAGAAAATTAATATAAAGTTCTTATATTATCTACCTGCTACCTTGCACAGATTTGGCGGGGGGTCAGGGGGTAGGAATTCACTCAATTTTGGAGTCAGTTCTAAAATATAAAGGGTCAGTTTTGATATATAAAGAAGGACACATCTAAAATATAAAGGGTCAGTTTTGATATATAAAGAAGGACACATCTGCCCTCATCAGAATAAATCGCCAACAAAGTATGGGCAAAGAAACCATAAAGAGAATAACATATGTGCATTGCACCTTCCCCCGGCAACACACAGGGAGGAAAAGAAGTTCTGGCCAGACTGAGAATATATAGTGGGATCTATTCTAGAGACAACTCGATTTTGAATGTAAATGATGCAGCTAGTGGAACCTATTCTTCCCTTACACAATCTGAATTTTCCAGTATAAATGTGCCTGGGCACTGATGCAGGAAGGACTTGTAGCCAGCCGGGTCCCTGTGCAGTAGCAGGGGACTTTGGCAGGCCCATTTCGTGGTTGGCGTCAATGCTTCATACGTACCTGATTGAGTTCTTCATCATTGGCAACTGCCAGCAGGATGTGTCTTGGGGCTATCCGGGCCTTCTTGTTGTCCCTTGCGGCATTCCCAGCCAATTCTAGAATTTCCGCTGAAATTTCAAGGGAGGGTTAATAGGCAATCATGGAATGGGGTCTGAGCTTTCCAAAGCTTTTCTTTGGAAATGGTCTTTGAGTTTGATCACTTTTATTCATTTGTGATTTTTACGTCTGGGCCTGGGAAGAAATCCAGAAAACCGAAAAGAACTCAGGTCACAGACAAGTAAGATATTTTAGCAAGATCTGACATATGACCCTGTGGCAAAATCTTTTAATTGCCCTCGACATGAATTCTCCCCCATCTTCCTTAGTACGTGGACCTCTGATTTTTTGCTGAGCCCATAATCACAGGAATGAAGACAGCATATCCCAGCCTCCCTTGTTGTTAAGCATGGTCATGTGACTAAGTTCTGGCCAATGAAAGGCAAGCAGTTGTGTTGTACGGTACTTCAGGGAAGTGTCCATCAGTGAAGGGACAGTGCCCTCCTTCCCTTCCTACTGGTGGACGGAGGACACGATGGCTGGAATTTGAGCAGCCATCTTTGACCAAGAGGAAGAAGTTGTGTATGATAGAGCAACAAGACAGAAGGAACAGGAATCTCACGACTGTGGAGCCTTCTTACAGACCTGGACTGTCTTCCACAGACCTCTTTTGTATGAGAGAAAAATAAACTCTCTTGTTCAAGCTACTGTCAGCAGAAGTCAATCCTGACCAAAACAGAACCCTAACACAGAACCTGAGTTTCTTTCAGTGTGCAGACAGCCGTCATCTCTGAGGAGAATAGTGATGTAGGTAAAGCCTGTCTTTTGTACCATTGAGACCCCTTTCAAAATCTCTTTTCCTTCTTCACTTGTTGCCCCTGGTCCCTCTCATCCTAAAGGAAAGTGGGCAGAAAGAACTTATGGGACAAGGAACTGCTTAACCTGAAAAAGGAATTCCTAATGGGGATACCTCTAGACCTGGGGAGGGAGGTTTGCTGGCACCCAGGGGTTTTCCACATATCCCTCAGGACTTAAGCATGGCTCCCTGGTACATGTGAAAGAGTTGATAGAAGGGAATATTCCTAAAACTATTTCACATACTATCAAAGTTTTTGATTAAAAATTTTAAAAAATCTATAGAATTGGTTTATACCCCTGAATGCTTTCCCCTTCCTCCTTTGTTTTTCCTTTCTTTCTCAATTTTTGAAGGATGTTCTGCTAAATCAAATTCATCTGCCTTCAAAAGTATGAATGAACCTTTAAAGAAAAACCCCTTCCCTAGAGGAAGGAGGTGATATGCCAATGTGTTGTCTCTCTTATACGTGGGGGAAAATTGTATGTGC